TATCCAGCGCAGCAGGTGTCATAAATTAATATTAGAGAAACATCCGGTAGGCTCGATGATCGTTTTCGCGAACACCTTAGATCTGTAAGAGAAGGCTACACAGACCTCCCTTTTGCTAGAATCTTCAACTCTCTTAAATCATAATGCTGCCTCTAACATGCAAGTCCAAGTAATCAAAAACGCACCGCTCAACAAGATAAAACGAGAAATGGTAGAAAACCGTATAATCTTTTAATTTAACACAAAGTCCCCTCATAGAATTAAAGAAAGATTTACCTCTAATTAATTTAAAAAATATGTTCAACCAAATTTTTTATTCAACTATACTTTACTCTAGGTGTGTTTTTATTTACATTTTCTCAGTCTTCCTTTTCCTTTTCAACCTTACCTTGGTTAAAGCCTTCCTCTTCTTAGAAATATATCCCTCTTTTAATACTATTTAGTTAATATATTTTTTTATTATTTTCTGTATTTTTATACTTATTTTCCAACATGCAATTTCAGTTGCTCTTGAACTACAGCCTTTCCAATTTGTTTGCTAATTTTAAAACAATTATTTTATTAATGTTACAGTTTTTATAGTAAGGACAAATATTATTTACAACAGGTACGACGTTTCGATGACAAGTTTTAACGGAAAAGAAGGTTTCAGTATTTAAATCAACATTCAACAATCTAACAACGTATTTAAATTTTAAAATTCTTACAGATTAGTTATGCATGTGCATATCAATCCGTGTGACTTGACAGATTATTTATGGGTGAAGAGAAAAAACAACAAAAATGAATAAATATAAAAATATGGAATATTTGCATAATATTAGGAATTTCTAGAGAAATAATGATCAAAGACATATAGAGATGTGCCTGGATATTTGTTGATTGTGGGATTTTTTTATTTTATTAATAAGACTTCTCTGGTTTTTCTTCTGTTGATGTCAGGTTTGTGTTTTAGTATTGTGACATTCTGTTCAGAAAAAACTGTACTTGATTTTATTCATATGTTCATGGACTTGGGAAGGGCGTTTTTGGTGTTGTTTTAGCCTGATCTTTGAGCTGCGTCCAGTTTCACCGATATAGAAGTTTCATCTTGTAAATGTTTCCTGGTGGAGTGTGTTCGTTATACAATTTTCTTACCGAACCAAAACCAGGTCCATTAAAAAAACTTCCTAAATAAATTTAATGAAAAAACTTCAAATATACTAAACAAAAAGAAGCCTATAAAACAAAATTTGATATCAGCAGAATGTCACACTACTAAAACATGAACCTGACATTAACAGAAGAAAAATAAGAGAATCCTTTTTAATAAAATCAAAAATCCTACAATCAACAAATACCCAGGTATATTTCTATGTGTCTTTGGCCATTACTTCCTCAGACATTCCTAATCTTATGCGAATATTTCGCTTAACATATTCCATATTTTCACATTTATTCACTTATTGTTTGTTTTTTCTCTTCAGCAATAAATAAATAGTCTGTTAATTCACGTGGAGTGATATGCTCATGCATAAGCAACCAGTATGAATTTTAAAATTTAAATACACTTTTAGATTGTTGAATGTTGATTTAAATACTAAAACCTTCTTTACCCTAAAAACTTGTGTACTTGAGAATGATCGCACCAGTAATTAAAACGTCGAACCTGTTATAAATAATATTTTTCCTAACTGTAAAAGCTGTAACTTGTAATAAAATAGTACCTATGATCAGTAAGTAAACTTAAATCGAAATTATTAATTTTAATATACGAAGAAACATAAACATTGTTTTCCTTAAACTATCTTTATTAAGGTCCTCCACGTAGAACGTGTGCAATTAGAACCTCTGTATATGTAACTCTTCAATGAATCTTTTTTTGCCTAGTTCCTATGTAACACAATAGTTACTGCCTAACAAAGTCCATCTACCCGAAACATTGTACGATATAAAATTAAGTAAAGTTTTTGTATAGACGTGTATATTTAGTTATCTTTTATTACTTTGTATCCGATTTTTTTCCGCTAACGTCTTGAGGAACAACAGTTGCTATTTACATTAGTACAAAGATATATGAGAAAGTCAGAAACATAACGAAACGAAACACGAACTGTCACTACACATATTAGTATAGATATACGGGTTCATAAGTCTACAAGGCTTTCTATGGGTTAAGCTTCAGCTCAAACTTCGCAACCCTCTTTTAGGAAATGCAGAGCGGCACACGTAAAGTTTTACAAAACACAGCTTAAGATCTTGTAATTTTGCTAAACAAAGGCGTTCCAATGCTCTTAGTCGAGTTAGACTAATCCTTTCAGAAAATGAAATCCTCTTGGTTAATTTGGCTTCCCCGTATGTTCATTAATTAACGCCAAGGCTCTCTAGGAAACGTTGTATTGGTAATGCGTTTGTGCCACACAAGTTTTTCTTGCTATCGTATTGACAAGTGTTCTGATTTTTAGGAATTACTAACATCAGTAGACTGTGTGTACAGTACAGAACGTAAAGTGGAGGTAATAAAAGTAAGTCAGTGCCGTAGAGAGTAATTAACCTAAACACTGTAGTTCTGGAATCTAGTGCGCTTTCCATAAGGCTTGAATTGTCTTAATAAATGACAACAGTAATCAAGCGATCGAATGAATTAATCAATGTCAGCTAAGTAGAAGAGGCGAATAAGAACAAAAGACAGAGGAAGAAAACTAAAATAACACAATTACCTAAAAGATCATTTTGTTTTTTAATCTCTACAACATTACTGCTTATTAGAGCTCATGGCGTTCTGTTCAAGAAGGACAGCTGCAAAATAAAGTTTTATAATAATATTATTCTTAAATTAAATTCGCTTTTGGAAACAGTTAACACATCACCAAGCTGTAAAATGTCGAGAGCTACAATAGCATATTTAGGTCAATTTATGTTTCATGAACTTATTAAACACAAGCTGAAATACCTGTCAACTGACGAGGAATGCTTAAACTTAATTAAAACAATGTAAAGTTTAACAACAATCATATATTTACAAAGTAAATAACTTGAACATAAACTTTATCTACAAAATTTTAAATATAACAAA